AAGCTTCACCTTTTCCCACCAAGAAAGCTCCTTTAAACAAGAACACACCTTCAAAAATATGCTCAAGAGTTAGCGCTCAAGAACACAAGAGAAAAATATGATATTTTCAAGAAAAGTTTAAGAAAACTTACACTAGAAATCAAAAGAACCAAGCAAACAAGTGTTGTTCTTCAAGAGAACTCAAGAACTCAACTCCGTGGTTCTTGAACTCTCAAAAATCATGGCTGTATAGTGGTGTGAGGAACTCAAAAATTTGATTCACACCATGAAAATGGTATGGTTGTGAAGAGGAGAGTGAGGGGAACAAGTTTGGTGAAGGGAATTTGGTGATTTAGAGAGGTTTTGGGGTGGAATCTTAGAGAGAAGTGAGAGCAAAGTTTGAAGTTTGAATTTTAGAGAGAGAAGTGAGAAGGAGGGCTGATTCAGAATGAGGGGGAAGGGGAAGGGTGCCCTAATTAGGGGTGTCATGTCACTTTAGTGGTATTTGTCCTTTAACGAGACCCAGTGTAATTTTTATCTGAACCGTCGTCAATTTTTACCCAGAAACCCCCAAGACTCTAACTTTAAGTACATAACATTAATTTTGTCTAATTATCATGTTCATAACTTAAAAATTTAATTAGTCGATCACAGATCCACTAACAGTTGTTTGATTGCACTATAGTCTTTACCTGTGTTCTTAATTGTACCCGAATTTCATAATTTTCTTAACTTTAACATTATTGGTCTAATTATGACTTGTTAGGCATATATTGGTCTTTATTTCTATTTTCTCATCTTTTTTCCCGTTCCGGGATTTTACCGGCTGCTTCTACAGCAGTACAAAATACCCGGCAGAAACGACTTTTCCAAAATACCCCAATATGGGTATCAAACTTCATCAAATCATATGCTAACCTTATTCATGATGTTTATATTATTAGATTAGCTCTCTAACTATAATTTTCTAACTTAGAGTTATTCTACTCACTGTTACTGCGTCAGCAGTCAAAATTAACAGATGAAAATTCACTTGTGCAAAATACCCTCAATATGGGTATCGAAATTCTTAGAATTTCATCCTCATTACATTTAAGACCATAAGGTCCTCATCACAATCCTCTAATTTAAAAGTCATATAATTAGGGTTATTATACATAGCCTTTTTAGCTGTCCATGCTTCTTCTTGGATTTTTCCTTCCAGAGGACTTAAAAGTGACAAGTTGATTAGATCTACTATGGTCTTCATGGCTTTACCCCAGAACGTTTTAAGAAACTTGGCATGAGACAATATACTGCGAACTTGCTCCTTGTTAGTCCAGTTCATAGTGTCCGGAACATCATTAAGCTATGGCGTGTTTGGAAGAGTCTTCTCTGGAATATGTCTGCCGACTGGCACTATGTCTCTAAGGGACCTCAGTACTCACCACCATTATCAGTCATCTTCTAAAATGGTCGTCAATAAAAGTAACAAAAAATATGCACCGCTTAGAGATCATTCCAACATGGAACATACAATTGTTTGAACTATGTCAAGGATATACATTCTTCAAGGCTGGTTAGGTCTCTGGACTAAAAAATTCAACATTGTTTGTCGGCTAAGCAATGGGTGCATGTCTCAAGAGTGGGCCTTCGAGATTCATTATCAATTCTATTTTGGTGAGGATTTGTAGTCCCTTCTCATGTGGCCAAATCTTCTTTGCAAAAGCTCCAGGTGAGAGCCATCTCGAACAAAATTAATCTCTCCACTTTTGACTTTACCTTCCATAACATAGAGAGATCCTTTTCTCTTTCCATGGGCAACCAAGTCCATGGTCAACTTCCATTTTAGTTCCGAGTTGCTCAGCGTCACAATCAAGGTATCCCAACTCTCAAGCAGTAAGGTGAGAAGCAAGAAAGCTTGCAGCTTGTCATAAATTTTCATATCAAGTGTGCCCATTTTTTGTGTTCAAGTGTTAAATCATGCTTTGTTCGTCCTTATAATCCAACTTCACAAGTAGGCGCACCAAGAGTGCTTTGTTGTATGGCATCTTCTTCCGAATCATGGATTCAAGTTTTGTCCATACACATAAGCATTTGTGTAGTTTGACACATAATCGAAAAAACTATTATCATTATATTATGGATCATAACAAGCACCTTTGAATTTAGGAGCTTCAACTCTTTATCACTTCTCCCTTTTGCCTTCTCGATACTCAGAATTGGCTCACACAAATATTTGCAATAAAGATGGTATGTCATCATGCGTTCCCAATCCAAGTAATTTTCTGCCGTGAGTTTGAACATGTCACCATCACGAATGACGAAACTTTCCATATCTAACCTCAGGGTCCTTAGTTTAAGAGTTTTGATACCATAATTGTGGAAGGGGATCGAAGCCCCATAACCCTTTTAGTAGAAGTGTCAAACATAAAAAATAAATGTAAAATAAATAAAGGTGTAAGAACAACACTGAAAACACACCAATTTCAACATGAAAACCTCTTTAAAAGTGTTGATTGGGATGTCTAACTTAATTTTATATCCGTAACAAAACCTTGTTCTATTTGTTTTTTTTTGGATATTAGGGAAAGTAAACGAAATTACAGATTACGTAAGGACTGTGGGATGATCAAGATCTCCCAGCAAGTTCTTTTCTACCAACAACCTACAATTAAGGGGAACATTAGGGATAATATCAACCTCCCAAGAGCTGTGACCCACCATAGAAGCCAACCGATTGGCCACTTCATTCCCTTCCCTGTGTATATGAGTTATCATGACTCTCCATGGTCTAGCAACCAAAGCTTGAATTCTGCCAACCAAAGAACCAAGAGGATGATCGGATGTACTCCCTTCCAGAATCAATTGAACCATTTCTGTTGAATCACCTTCAAGATGAACCTGCCTGAATCCATGATCCCAAGCTACTTGAAGACCCACTAAAGCTCCCCATAACTCAGCCTTTAGAGCATTTCCTTGACCCACCTTCTTCATATATCCCAACACCCATCTCCCATCACTATTCCTCAAAACCCCTCCACATCCACTATGTGTTCCATCAAGAAAGCAAGCACCATCTGAATTTACTTTTATCCAACCCTGTAGAGGAGGCCTCCATTTGTCAAAGACATCTTCTCTTCGTTTTAAACTAATATCAGCCACTTCCAACATTTCCTCAACATGAAGTACATTATGAACATACATTCTGATCTTATGACACATAGAATCAGTACTACTCACTACCTTTTTAAAAACTAAATCATTTCTAGATTTCCACAACATCCAGCAAGTGACACCAAAGGTGAGACTCCAGTTCTTAATTTGAGTGCTATTCTTCCTTTTTAACAAATTAAACTGCATCCAATCCAAGAAACTTCCAAAGAAAAAAGAATTATACCTGGATTTTGCAATTAGGCCTCTCCAAATTTGTTTTGCCTAGTAGCAGTCTCTCATCACATGACAACAGTCTTCACACGGATAGAGGCATCTTGGGCATTGAGCAACATCCCCCATATGTCTTCGGACTCTGTTATCATTTGTTAACAGGTTATCTCCTAAGAGAAGCCAAATGAAATGCTTGATCCTCTCAGGGCCTATCCAATCCCAAGCCAAATTCCAATACTGATTCTGATTTTGCAAACTCGCCTTTTCATCTCTAATAGCCAAGTAAGCTGACTTCACAGAAAAAAGACCATTACTAGAATGTTGCCATATGATCCTATCCTCACCCTCTTCCTCCTTTGGAGGTTCAATCTTGGCTATAATATCACAAACCTCTTCAGAAAGGAAAAAATTAATTTTGTCCCAGTCCCCCTCTTGATTCACACAACAAGCCACATCCCATAAGCTAACATCATTAGGAATAGGTCTAATAGCTTTCTCTCGAAGCTTCCCCAAACCAGGCACCCGGTTATCACACCAGAATTTCACTTTCCTACCATCACCAATCACAATTTTAGATCCTGTCAAAATGTGTTCCCAGGAAGAGCAGATGCCTCTCCAGATATTACTAGCATTAACCTGTTTCGAAGCATGAGGCAAGATTCCATCCTCCAGATTATATTTATTTCTCATAATTCTGGCCCATAAAGCATCCTTGTTCACCAACAACCTATAGCCCATTGGGTTTGAAAGAAAGCTGCATGCAATCCATCAGGGCCTGGAGCCTTAAATCTGCCCATTCTAAACACCACTCTTCTGATCTCTTCTACATCTGGAGCCCTGGCTAAATACTTCAAACCTGTCTCCTCCATCTTAGGAAAAATTCCCTTTATAGGGAACCCCTCATACCCAACATCTTCAGCATGAAATAACTTTTCAAAATAATTCACTGCTACATCCACCATCTCCTTTGTATCTGAGGTCCACTCACCAAGCTCATTTTTTATTGCAACCACTTTGTTAAACCTTCTTCTAGCAACAGTAGAGGAATGAAAAAACTTTGAGTTTTTGTCCCCAAATTTCAGCCAATTGACTCTAGATCTTTGGAACCAATTAAGCTCTTCTCTAAGCAGAATTTTCTCCAAATCTTTCCAAAGATCTCTCTGCAACCTCTCAAGCTCTCTGTCATATCTATCTTCCAACTGCAAATCCAGACCTTATAATCTAGCATAAATTCTATGCTTCTGTCTCATTTTCTCCCTAAAAATGTCATGGTGCCATCTAACTGCCTCTTCCTCAAAACCATCCCTAGCATCCAACCAATACACATCCTTCTCCTAACACTTCTTAACCAAGTTCCCAAAGTCAGAATGTGTAAGCCAAGCAGCTAAGAACTTAAACTGCTTCCCCCTCTTATTGTCATGGAAATCATTGCAACAACTTAACAGAATTGGCCTGTGGTCCGAGTTGAAGAAAGGAAGATGCCCTAACACTCTATTAGGCCATGCTAAATTCCAATCCTCATTAGCAACAGGTCTATCAATTCTTTCTTGTAAACTTCCCCTTTTCCATGTAAATCTTGGCCCTTTAAACCCTATATCTGACATTCCACAGCCCTCAAGACAATCATACATCTCCCGAACACTTCTCCAACAAATCTATTTACCTCCACACTTCTCAGAAGGGCCCAGTACAGAATTGAAGTCTCCCAGGATCACCCAGGGAGAATTAATAGCACAAGCCAGTAACTCCAAATCCTCCCATAATCTGATCCTCTCAACCCTCCTAGGGCTCCCATAAACAAAAGTAGCTAATTCCCACCTCCTATCTTCAATATAAACAATTCTAGTATGCACATATTGATGGTGAGATTGAATAATCTCCACCTCAACATCTCTGCTATCCCACAAAACCCAAATTCCTCCTGAAAATCCCACAGCTTCCTGTTTGAAAAACTTAGAAAACCCCAACTTCTTTATAATTGTATCCCCTCTATCACCCTGAATCTTAGTCTCTAATAAGGCCAACACTTTAATATTGAACCTATATTTCATATCTCTAATTAGAGCAGGGAATTCTCTTTTCCCTACTCCTCTACAATTCCAAAAGCAATTATTCAAAAGGAAAGCTATATACAGAAAGTGACAGAACCTGACCTTAGCTAACCAAACCATTGGTTAGTTACTGATGCACATGGCATTTGTGATGTCATCCAAAGCCATATCAGCTCTCCCATCTAGACAAACACCATGATCTGCACTACTTCCATCAGGGGGATTTTCCTTATGACCAGGGACTGCTTGGTTAGATATCTCCATCTCATTCCTCTGTAACAGAACAACTCCTGAACTACTGGTTGATACTTTAGCTCCGGAACCAGTCTCAACCTGCATACTCCCTTTATTCCTTCCCCTTTCAATCAGAATAGCTTCCCTTAGAGGCTTCTTCTGTATGGATCCCCTAGAGTTCTCCTGAGGAACTGAGCTAATTGGTTTTTTCCCCAAACCTTTGGCTCCATTCTCTGTACTATTCTTCTTTTTCTTCCCACCTTGACTTTTTTTTGGTTGGCTCAATTCACCAAGAATCTTGCTATTACTCGTGTCAGCCACATTAGCATTATCATTACTTCTAGGAGCTCTCTCTTCTGACTCACCTTCTAAATGACCAAATCTAGAACCAGTGGCACGATCCTTAGCTGGGATGCCATTCTCCTCTGGATTAGACTTCTCCTTTCTCACAGGGCCTTCCTTGGATTTCTGGTACTGAGTAGGTCTTTTGAAATTTCTTCTCTGGATAGTCATCCAGCTCCCAAAGCCATCTACTTCTTGACTTTTCTCAATTCCTTCCTTGGGTTCAGCCTCATTCTGGTTGTGATTCGAATGATTACAGTGGTCCACTCCTCCAGCAGCTTCCTCTACCTTCTTCAAATTGTCAGGATTCATCTGGCATTGATCCTTCCTATGCCCATATTGCCCACATAGGAAGCATACTAAATGAAGTCCCTCATATCCAATATATAACTGTCTTTGGCCTATTCTAAATTTTGAGAGTAGGCTTTTGTTCAAGTCAATTTCCATGCAAATTCGAGCAAACTTTCCCTTATCAGTGATCTCTTCAAGTTGACCTTGACCACTAATCCTGAGAGAACTTTTGTCAATCCTCAGGGTTTTCCCCACCATATTCCCCATTCTCCATAAGTCTTTATGAGTATAGAACTCCCTAGGAACCCCTGGGATTCTGATCCAAACTGCTATCTTCCTTACTCCCTCATCATAGGGATCGAAGTTGGGCCTCCATCTCTGCACTATGAGATAATGATCAGCCACCACCCACGGCCCCTGTTGTTGAACGAAGAGATAGTCCTGTGATTTTTCAAATTCGATCATATAATGATCATTCTCCAGATTCAGAACCCTATACTCCCCTTCTAGGTTCCAGAGCCTATGCAGCCTATTCCATAAGAATTTCGCACCTAGCCGCTTCCCCATAAGCTTGACTATCAATGCCTTCCTCCATCGCTTGCACTGTTCGAGTTTCTCCAGCACATCAAACTGATAGAACGGATTTAAAGGATCATCCTCCCCGTTCTGCTCATACGCCTTCATAGCCTCTTCTTCCTCGAGCTCCTCTCTTTTGGATTCCGCAAGCCAGTCGTCCTCTTCATTCTCAAGACAACCGTCCCAAACTCCATTGACACGAAAGAGTTGATCCTTATAGGATACCAGCTTCCTAGGATCTCTCTTCACTTCCTCCTCCGCTTCGAACCCCGCTCCAGATCCTTCGACCTCAATCGGAATAGATTTGTTTCCCCCCTTCAACCTCCATTGTGCCCACAATCAGAGGTTCGACCTGCTTCTCCAGATCCACCATCGGTTCACCCTTCGCATTCTTAGAATCCCTGTTAATTGATGAATCCCCCTCAGATTTAGGGATTCTTTCCCCTTTTCCCACCATAAACCGCGAAGAACCCTAGCAGAGCAAAATAAAAGATTCTCACGCGCCTACGCGTTCACTGGATTAGATTATCAATATTCCCCACCTTGTTCTATTTGTTAAGATTAAATTATTGATGGTGCAACTACAATCAAATAAAATTAAAAAAAATTGAGGTATAAACGCATTATATTGCTTTAATATATAGATTGACTAATATATTAAGCATTCATTAAGGTTCTTTGACTTTAGTTTATGTTCGAAGAGCAAAATGTATTTGATTAGGTAAAAGGGATTATTGTTTTTGATATTATAAGAGATAATTTTATTTCCTATAAATGTGTGGGACCCATGTGGGGTATGTAAAAAGAAGAGAGAGAAAAAAATGTAGACCCCACACACTTTTTTGTGTATGTAGGAGATAAAATTATCTCATACATCATGAGAAACATTAATCCCTAAGTAAAAACATTTAAGTGTATAAATAAAAATGTATCTGTTCTTAAATTTTAGCCACTTAAAATTATAAGTAACTTAAAAAATAAATTGACATTAAACGAGTTTTATCTAGGGTTGGCAAAAACGAGCCAACCCGTCGTAAACCGCCAAAAATGAGCCGAGTTGGGTTAGCAAAAATGAGATGCCAACGCGAGCCAACCCGACTCGATCCAGCTCGTGAAAAAATGAGTCAACCCGCGGGTCAAACGAGTCAGCTCGCAGGTGTTTTTTTTATTATTATTATAAAAAATACAAAATATAATATACAAAAATAGACAAAACCCACACATGTTGTCATCATTTTTCTTCCTTCTCTAAACCTAAGTCCCTAATCTTCTCACATCCATGTCATTTTTATATTGTTAGGCTATGCTGGCTCTGAGATATCTTACCCACTTGGTAGCAAGTGATTTTGATTGTTTCTTGATGTTGATGCAAATTTGTTGTGAAGAAAATTAGAAATTAAATTATTTTGCTTCTATTTCTAATTTTGTAACCCTTTTTTTAAGCTGATGGAAGCCACATAGCTGGTGCATTAATATTACAGGGTCATTTAAATAGGCTGAAAACGAGCCAACCCGTGAGCAATTTTCGAGCCAACCCGCGAGCCAATTTTCGAGCCAACTTGCGAGCTATTTTTTCAAGCCATCCCATGAGCCATATTTTTGAGCCAACCCGCGAGCCAACCCTAACCCGACTCGGGTCGGGTTGGGTTGGATTTTCTGGCATGTTTTTATTTTCGAGCCAACCCTATCCCGTCTCGTTTTTTTCGGGTTGTATGCAGGTTGGGTCGAGCCGGGTCGTGCCGAGTTGGCCTGTTTTGCCAACCCTACTTTTATCCATTCAATTAATAGCTCACGTTATACACTAATAACGTGTCTAAATTCACATATCTCTCTTTTCATTATTGTAAAGTTTTGGCTGGTCTAAGCAAGATAGAAGTCCTTAATCTAACTGGTTTATTCTGCAACGCATCTTTAACAAATCAACATGAGCAAATAAGTAATTCTTTAGTATTATTGTATCCATCATTTATGTAATTCTACATTGATAAATAATCCTTCATTTATGAAGTATATTGACTGATAAGGTAGCATCTACACACCAATGTATTTTTGTTTAAGGGTTATATTACTCTCATGTAATAGGAGATATATTATCTCATGTGATAGATACATTCATGTAGTGGGTCCCATTATTTATTAAAAAAGAAAAAAAAAGAAAAAAGAAAAGCACGGAAATCGATGAGTCTGTAGGAAGTTATATTATGTCATGCAACATGAGAGTAATATAACCCTTTGTTTAAATACTATAATTTTCTTTTCAATCTTCTCAATTTAGGTTTATGTGAAATGAAGCAACTTCAAGAGCTACATCTGTCAAATAATTATTTCAGAGGAACTGTGGATACATGCCTTGGCAATTTGACATTACTTCGGATTCTTGATCTCTCAGATAACTCCTTAACTGGGAGCATTCCAGCAACTTTGATTGCTCGCCTGACATCTCTGGAGTATCTTTACCTTTCTCGCAATAAATTTGAGGGTTTATTCTCATTAAACATCTTGAGTAACCATTCAAAGCTTAAGGTATTGCAACTGAGCTATATGAATTCTACAACATTTCAAGTAGAAACTGAAAATCCCCCTTGGGTTCCATCATTTCAGTTTGAATGCCTAGGAATGGCCCATTCTCAAGTAAACTTACCTACAAAAAGGATTCCTACTTTCCTTTTATATCAAAATGGCTTGAGATATATTGATCTATCAGGTAACAACTTGGTTGGTATGTTTCCCATATGGTTGCTTGTGAACAATCCAAAACTAGAAGAAGTGCATTTAGGTCATAATTCTTTCACAGGACCTTTTAAACTACCCTTTGATCTAAATCATCAGATGGATCAATTATCCTCTTTGGACTTATCAAACAATAAGATCCAAGGCGAGCTCCCCAATGACATAGGATTCTTCCTCCCAAATCTAGTGATTTTTGATGTCTCAAGCAATATGTTTGATGATCATATTCCTGCTTCAATTGGAAACATGTCAAGGTTGTGGATATTCGATTTGGGACACAATAATTTTTCTGGCAAAGTACCTGAGAACATTCTTAATGGATGCATGTCATTAGAAGAATTGATGATGGATAATAACCAGCTTAATGGAACACTTCCCACTGGGATTGGAAAACTTTGGCTTAGGACCTTAACCGCATCAAGGAACAACTTTGAAGGTGCAATAACAAAAGAATTTTGCCAGCTTGAGCTTTTTCTTTTAGATCTATCTCAAAATAAATTGTCCGGTGCACTACCCTCTTGCTTCAAAATGCCATCATATGTTTTCTTGCAGGGAAATAATCTTACTGGCCCGATAACTGAGATAACTGATGCATTTACAGTGGCCATTGATTTGAGTGATAACAAATTTACTGGAACTATTCCAGAGAGCATATATGGGCTTAAGTCTTTGGAGTTTCTTTTATTGGGAGGTAATCAGTTGCAAGGCCAACTTTCCACTCAAATATGTCAGTTACAAAAAATCAGTATCTTGGACCTTTCACACAATAACTTCATTGGCTCTATACCATCTTGCTTAAATAATTTGTCATTTGGGGACATTTATAAAGATTCTTTACCACTTATGCACGATATTGACTTATTATTAAAACAAGTTATTGTTATGGGTCTCACTCAAGAAGTGCAATTCGTAACAAAAGGTTCACCCCTATCTTATAAAGGTAATATACTTGAATTCATGTCAGGGTTAGACTTGTCATCTAATCAACTCACAGGAGAGATTCCACACCAAATAGGAGATCTAAATGCCCTCCATTCACTGAACTTGTCTCATAACCATCTCAATGGACCAATTCCAGAGAGCTTTGGAAAGCTAGAAAACATTGAGAGCTTAGATCTTTCATTTAACAACTTGGGTGGACAAATCCCTCTTCATTTACAGGACTTGTATTCTTTATCTGACTTCAATGTCTCCTACAACAATTTGTCAGGTAGAGCACCTAATAAGGGACAGTTTGGTACTTTTGATGAGAGCAGCTACATAGGAAATCCATATCTTTCTTATAATAATAGTAACAGAGGCATTGCAACACCGCCACCTCCACCAACTCCATTAAATGATGGAGACAAAAATGATTCTGCAATTGATTTCACTTCCTTTTATTGGAGTTTTGGTGGATCCTATGTCATGGTGCTCCTAGCATTGCTAACAATCCTTTGGATCAATCCTCATTGGCGGAGAGCATGGTTTTATTTTGTTGAAGGGTGCCTCCTTAAGTGCTTTGGTAAGTTTCTTGAAGATGCATTCTACTAGAAAGTTGTGAAATAAATTGCTCATGTTAGTTGTTGTAATAAGAAGTGATGGTTTTCCTAAAACGTATGAGAAGAACTAGTTTGTGTTGGATTTTTCAAGTCCCTCAATATCTCATGAACTATATTAATGTTATTCTATTGTTATTTTTTATTCACCAAGTCAACAATATATTTTCTTGTGAGAACTTGCCAATTTCACGCTAAAAGGACATGCACTTGGTTATAGTAGTGCATTTGAAATTACATTGTGTAAATAAATCAACGCCATTACAAAAATACAGTTAGACATTTTCTTCTTCTGGATTAGTGATGCTGCTGTGCATATGTTCATCAGTGTTAAAATCGAATGCAGGACATATTCCCAAAGCTAAGGAGTACTCTTATTTAATAAGTTCTTTAATATTTTACATTGCTAATGATTTAAAATTGCCCCAGTTAATTATATCTTCAACACCGATCTCCAATAACTCTTACTGTCTTAGGGCATGTTTGGTGCATAGTATAGGATAAGGCCTCATAATATAAGACCTGATTAAATTTTAATATTATCCAGCGTTTGGTATGATATTGTATAAGATAATATCCTCCAATATTTTAAAAATTAATATATTAAAAAAATTTATTTTAATATATAAATATTGAAATGATATATTGGTTTTTGGAAATTGTAGTTGCAAGTAAGCAATATTAATACATCAACCTCTTATCAGGCCTAATCCACCACTCCTATATATAATATTAATACATCAACTGAAAATGTCATAACGTATAGTATAAGCTTATACTATCAGGCTTTATACATCACACCAAACAAGCCCTTAAGGTTTATGTGATTAAAATATGAGTTTAATGTTTCTAATGTTGTTATTTCCTATACGCGGATAAAAGTGTGTGGGTTACGAAGAGAAGAAACAAAGAAAATACGGGTCATACTTATAAAGGTGAGTGCAGAAGATAATTTTATCTCCTACAATATAAAAAATATTACCCTTAAAACATAGTGTCAAAGTAGCCAAGGCCTCGTTGAAAGAACGAAGTGCGCTAAGGTTCGAGATTTTGACATTCTTACTTTTTTGCCTTCAACATCAACAAAATATTTATCCTAAATTAGTTGAGGTCGGTAGTAGATGAATCTAAATTAAAGATACGAAGAGACGGGAGAAAAGATAAAAATAAAATTTAAGTATATATATATATATATATATATATATATGGAAAAATTAAAAATTCAGTCACTGAACCGTCCAGTGCACTAAGTTCTCCCACTAGAACTTAGTGCAATAAATATTACAATGGTGTTCTTCAGGTGTTCTCCCGGAAGAACATTGTTATAATTTTTATTGCACTGTGTTCTTGCGGGAGAACATAGTGCACTGGACCGATTTCTACATCCAGTCACTGTACACTCACTAAACCCCACTCACTAAACCCTATATATATATATATATATATATATATATATATATATATATATATATATATATCTATAATGCAGGAAACATTTAAAATGAAAAATATATTAGCGCTAATACAATGTGATTAAAATTGATAGACCTAGGTTTATAAAAAAAAAAAATTGATACACCTATAAATATGAGGGCACATGTCCCTAGGTCAGATTTTAATACATGTTGCGCCTCCATTTCTGAAGCTTGTTGTCTCCCAAGCTTGTCACCTTCTCCTCTCTACAACTTGTGAACCAAGTGATCATTTTCCTTCCAATTTTCCTCATTCTATCACCTTAGATGTTGCGAGCAAGCCTTGGGAGCTAGAGTGACACCACATTCTGAGTGCCCAACCACTGTGTGGAGTGTGTGAGGCTGATACCTTTGGTTGTGGGGTTGGAAAGCTACTTTCTTTGGTCTTTGAAGCTCCAAGAAGCTACCTTGTGGAATAAAAGACCTACCTTCATGCTCATTTTCGTGGCTATGTTTTGGTGCTAATTCACTGTCCATCCTGGTGCTACAAAGATGTACCAGGACTTGAAGAGAAACTTCTGGTGGCCGGGCAAGAAGAAAGACATAGTTGTTTATGTGTCCAAGTGTTTGATATGCTAGAAGGTGAAGATAGAACACCAGAAGCCGTCTAGTAAGCTTCAACCTCTTGAGATACCGCAGTGGAATTGGGAGAGCATTTCCATGGACTTCATGGTGGGATTGCCTAAGACTCAGGCCGATTGTGACTCTATCTGGGTCATTGTGGACAGATTGACTAAGTCTGCCCATTTTATTCCGGTAAAGGTGAGCTTCACTACTGAGCAGTTGGCCAGACTATATGTTCGTGAGATCATGAGGCTTCACGGGATGCCCGAGAGTATCATCAGTGATAGGGACCCGAAGTTCACATCTCGGTTCTGGGAGGCGCTGCAGGGAGCTTTTGGTACGCAGTTGAGACTGAGTACAGCCTATCACCCTCAGACTGATGGACAAACTGAGCGGACCATCCAGACATTGGAGGACATGTTGAGGGCTTGCACCTTGGAGCAGGGCTCAGCACGGGATAGGTACCTGCCATTGGTTGAGTTTTCATACAATAACATTTTTCATGGTAGCCTGGGCATGCCGCCCTACGAGGCACTGTATGGTAGGAGGTGTCGGACTCCTACCTGTTGGTCTGAGGTTGGAGATAAGGATTTTTTTGGCTTGGACTTCGTCCAAGATACTACCCAACAGATCTAGATGATCAGGGAAAAGTTGAAGCAGGTGCAGAATTGCTAGAAGACTTATTATGATGTTAAGAATCGACCATTGGAGTTCAGTGAGGGTAAGCACGTGTTTGTGAGACTTTCACTTGTCACCGGTGTTGGTTGTGCCCTTGGAGTGAGGAAGCTTAGCCAAAGATTCATAGGGCCATACCAGATTCTTGGTAGGGTAGGGTGTAAGAACCTGAACCCTTAATTAAGGAAATTAATTAATTATATATGAGAATTAGGAAATAATTCCTAGAAATATATATAGGACTTGTAAAATGAGTTTCAAGTTAAAATAATGAGAACTGGTGCCAGAAACTGATATTGGCTATGAAAAGCGCGTACCGGAAAGGTGCTATTAAAAATATAAGAAAAATATGATAATTCTTATAAAATTGAGTAGGTTAAGAATTCTGAGTTTGGGATTAAAATGCTAAGCGTAGCAATTAAAGATAATACTGTGTGTTTATGGTTTAAGTGACTATATATACTAAAGTATGGCCCAAAACCCTAGGCCATACATTTCTCCTACGTGAGTTTGTTGAAGGTGTGACACCAGCCACCTTACCACCTCCTTCTCCTTCCATTTGAGACACCAAGAGACCTCATTTCCTCTTGGGTTCTTCATGAAAACTCTATGGGTGAGTGCATTCTAGCCTTGGGAAGTAAAAAGGGATTGTTTTTTGAGTTCTTGCTACTGCCTTGGTGAGGATAGGTGCTGACTTTGAGTTTAGAGAGGGTGTGGTTCTTTGGCTTGGTATTTGTGGTGCCAAGGAGTCATCTTTTGGTGCAAGAACGAACCTTTGGTGTGGCATTTTTGTGCTCCTTGCAAGTCAGTATATTTGGAGCTGTTTGGTGAGCTCCAAGAGCCTTCCATTTCTGAGTTTGAAGCTTTGGTGAGTTGCCCAACCTAGTTCATGAGTTTTAATGGTTTAAAGGTGATGTCTTTGCATGTTAATGGGTTAAACAAGTAACCAACTGGTATGTGGACCTAAAACAGATTTAAAATGCATGCTTTGACGTTTTAAAGTGTTAAAAATGGTACATTGGTTGGATATCTTCGCGAATGCAGAAGCTGCTGTCTGTCGCGAAATATCCGAATATTGATATCCGGATATGGGGATCTGGATATCCGGATATTGATGTCCGGATATGCCCCCGACGAATATCCGGATATTCTGGGATTTCGAAGAACAGTAGCTGCACTATTCATACAGTAGGCTATTGGGGGTTTGTGGATCCTAGATTGATGAAGTTGAACTTCTGTTTTAATTGAACTAGGTCAGAATCAAGTGGTTAAGGGCTTATGGCTTTGTGTGAAGCCTTAAGACATAAATCGTAAAAGGAAAAACATAGTCTTTATGTTTATGCTTTGGAGCTTTGTTGTTGATATGCTTGCTGGTCCTAAATCAGATTGTGATCTGCTGTGTGTTGGACTTGAGCTGTGTGGACTCTTGGCTGGGATAGCTAGCTTGCAAGGTAAGCTTTCGTGTCCTTGGTTTAGCCATGTTGTGGTTCCACCATGTCCCATGGGGGTATGGTTACATGCGTGCTGTGTTACATGCTTTTGATGTTTTGGAAATGCTATTGAGCTGTTAGATGCTAGTGCCTTTATGATATGCATGTGGTGTTCCACCTCTACGGTAAGCCTGAGTATGTGGTACATACACGATGAAGAGGCTGTGGGTGAGGTGCAAGCGGTGTTCCTTGTACTACGTGTGGGTAATAGACGTATTCCTGCATTTCTCTAGCCAGTAGAATAGTTTAAACACACATGGCATGAATATCTATTGCACTGCATAGTTTTGGAACTTATATTGGAAATTACTGCTTTTGAAATTATATTGCACATGTAAGTGAGCTTGAGGTGGAAGATCCTTGAGAACCCCTTGTCTTACTGAGATTTCTGGTTTAGAGATCTCACCCCACGTTTGGGGAATGCTTATTTCAGGTTCAGGTAATGCGGGGGTTGAGACCTCTAGTGGCAGGAGGCCAGAGCTTAGCTGATAGATGTTACTTGTTTATGCTGCTTTTAGCTTCATTTATGATTATGGATTATCTTGTTGAGACGTTGTTGTTATGACGTTGCTTTAGTAAGCATGGGGTTTGTCCATGCCACATAGACTTGATTATGTCTTGTTTTATTTGGAGTTGTAATAATGTATCAGGATATTGTCCGGACTACGTGTTGTAGATCCGGATTTTAGATACTCACTTTATCTATGTTATGAGGTATTTCAGTTAGATGTTTATTTGCAATTTACATACAGGCGACATTTTATGAAATTGATTAAGTAATCAACTTGGCTAAG